AGCACAAGGAGGAGGCCTGCATGGGGTAGTTCTTGCCTGGGCGATGGGGAGCGAAGGGGGAAAGTCAGTGGTGGGAGCTGGCAGCACCGGTGGTGCCCATGGCGGTGCCCTGGGGCTAATGAGCAATGGGAATAAGGTGCTTTTCCTACCTAAATAAATAAATACATAAAGAAACCAGGTGCCTGTCTCTGGTGCGAATCCTCAGCACTCACCCCTTCCGTGAAGGCTGGGGTCTGGATGGATCGAGGGAGCGAAGGGGGAAAGTCAGTGGTGGGAGCTGGCAGCACCGGTGGTGCCCATGGCGGTGCCCTGGGGCTAATGAGCAATGGGAATAAGGTGCTTTTCCTACCTAAATAAATAAATACATAAAGAAACCAGGTGCCTGTCTCTGGTGCGAATCCTCAGCACTCACCCCTTCCGTGAAGGCTGGGGTCTGGATGGATCGAGGGACCCCCGAGACACTCCTCTCCCTGGAGGAGCCTCTTGTGATCCCAGAAACACTCCCCCCCAATGCTGTTTCCCCCCTCCATGGACACCCTTTGGGGAGGCACTGGGGGTCGCACGGGTGGAATGTGATGGATGAGAGGGCTGCCGGAGTGGGAGAGAGCCTCTGGGGAGAGCCAGCCATTGTTCCCCTCGGGCTCTCACTTTTCCCAGAAAGCCCCAAAACTGCACATGCCGGGCAGTGGGACACCCAGGCACCTGCCTGGCCCACGCTGGGCTGTCTGGTCCCAACACCCACTCCTCTTCCAGGATGCTGCCACACTTTTTTTTCTTTGCCATTTGATATTTGGAGCTTTTTTTCCAGGGGCACTTACACATTTAAGGGGAAAAAAGAGAAAGAAAGAAAAAAAAGGCAGCATTATTTGATGGGGAGCACCCAGGGCTCCACACACTATGGTCCCTGCAGCCAGGAAGAGCTCAAGTGCTTTCTAGAAGGTAAGTTACCTGCTTAAAAATAAATTTTAAAGAAAAGCCGAGAAAATGCCAAGAAAAAAGCAGCAGGTTGTTTCAAAAGCTGCAACGGAAGCCAACTCCTGCACAAGCACTATTTGCCAAAAAGCCTGCACCCACTGACCGGCCCCACGGGATGGCAGCACCCCAGGGGCTTCTGCCATCATGGGGGGTGCATGGGGTGCAGGATGAGCCCCCTGTGAGACTTCTGCAGGGGATTTTCGCCACGTGTGGTGAACTGCACCTCCGGTGAGAGGTGGAAATTGAGGGTGGCTGGAAGGAGTACAGAGCATATGGATTACAGATGTCCATTTGGGCAATGAATATTTCCTTCTGATTCAGTAAGCCAAAAACAGGATGGGCTTTCCAACCTTTCTGGTTTTGTGAGTGTTTTATTCCTCACCTTCCCTGATGTTACTGTTTTGGCAGCAAAGGTCTCTCACCTTCCTGCTTAAAATACTGTCCTGAACCCCATTTCATTTTAAATAGACACAGCGGCAACGTTACTCAAAGCTCGCCACAAGCCTCTCCCCTGCTTTCCTAAACCTCCAGGAAGGTCTACAGAAGCCTGTAAAGCTGGAAGCAAAAAAGGCACAGGGAAAACTTAACGAGCAAAGCTGCACCGTGCTTCATTTGCAACCCAGCTCTGCCACACTAATGATGGAGACAATTTGGATTTCCTTCAGTGGCTGCAGTAGGACAGAACAAAGCATCATCATTTGGGGGAGATAAAAAACCCCAACAGTCAATGTCTGAGCGCTACACATACACTTGCTCCGTATGAAACCACACGAACATTTATTTCTATGGTTTGTCTATTTATAAAAGCTCAAATTAGTTCCACGACATCTCCTCTGTGTGATGCAGCAAGTGGAACGTGTTTGGGTCTCTGGAGGCTATGCCAGCGCCCCCCGGTTTGGCAGCCCCGGGCAGCACCGGGGTTGGGGCCGGGAGCTCTGGCAGACGACGATGGGCAGCGGAATTCTCACAGCATTTACTCCAAAGTGGTTCCTGAGGTACAGGCTACTCTCTTCTGAAGGATGTCTGCTTGCACACGCTGCGTGTCTGATACACGGCTACTTTCAGAAAAGGCAATTATAGCATCATATCCTTTCAAATTACCCAAAAAGCCAGGCGCCGCACGAGTGTTTAGAAGAGGGTGCAGGGCGTTGTTATTCTCAGCCATGTTATCAGTCATTCGCTTTCAGTGCAGAACTTTGAAGAAGAACACCGTGAGGTGTTCTGCAGGTGACGGTGCTTGAATTTGCTTTCATCAGATCAAATGGCGTCTG